TTATAACAGTTAAACAGTTATAACAGTTATAACAGTTATAACAGTTATAACAGTTATAACAGTTAAACAGTTATAACAGTTATAACAGTTAAAACAGTTAAACAGTTAAACAGTTATAACAGTTATAACAGTTATAACAGTTAAACAGTTAAACAGTTATAACTGTATAACTGTTATAACTGTATAACAGTTAAACAGTTATAACAGTTATAACTGTATAACTGTTATACAGTTATAACTGTATAACTGTTATAACTGTATAACAGTTATAACAGTTAAACCGTTATAACTGTTAACTGTTATAACAGTTAACAGTTATAACTGTTTTAACTGTTATAACTGTTATAACAGTTATAACAATTATAACAGTTATAACTGTTATAACTGTTATAACTGTTATACAATATTATGGATGAATAAAGCTATTCTGTTATTACATGTAAAGTTATTGTTGTTTGATTAAATATTAAGTTGTTAGTTTTCTAATTGCAGTATCTTCTGTTTGTTCTGAACATAGATAAAAATGAGTTATTTGTACACAGTAAACAATATTTACACAAATAAACCTCAGTCACAAAGGAAAGCAGACATTTAGCTGCTTTAGTTGTTGTTTTGTGGGATGTCCGATCATGTGACCAAATAAATGTGCAGTCAGGCCTTTTTTTATTCCTGAAGCTGATTTTCTCTGCCCTCCAACATGAACATGTGACGATCACAGCGTTCTTCACTGCTTTGACCCCTGAGCTTAAAAAAAAAAGTATTTATGAAGTTCATTTGGGAAAATGTTTACAAACGAACTTCGTCTCTCTGTCGTTAACCTACTTTTAAATTAGGAGTTTGTTCTTGTAATCAGTTTACACCTGCCCAGGAGGAACTTGGGTGTTTCTGTGCAGCTTTTGAGTCAGAGCTCAAACGTTTGTTTCATTTAACCGGCTGCTGGAAAAGAAGCAGAGAATCACTCAAAGCTCCTCAGGCTGCTCGCAGAAGCAAAGAACGTTGTTGGTTCCTTCACTTACAGTGGACCAGTGCAACTACAACGTTACTCGTCACCTTTCAGCACAGTGAGGGTCGGCTGAGGTTTGGACTTCAGCCCGCGGACATGACTCATACAGGAGGGCGACTCCAGGCGTTTTGCAGCTGTCCACACTGCTATGATGGAGCAAAACAAGAAGAGGGAGGCAAACGAGGGGTGGCACGGCAGAGCTGCCGCCTCACAGGAAGAAAGTCGCAGGTTTGCCTCCCAGGCTGGGACCTTTCTGGGTTGAGTCACTGAGCCTCTCGCACAGTGACTGATGGAGATACATGCCAGTGTCTCGTGACCCAGAAAGATAAAAGCAGGTAAAAATTGATAACTGGATGGATGGAGGAGAATGACAGCAGAGAGAGAGAGAGAGAGAGAGAGAGAGGGGAGTAAAACCTGTTGGTGACCCGGTCAGACCGGTTTTTCCACGTCAGCACCAACAGAAGAACCTGCCAACACCTAACCCTCAACTTCAATACTTGGAGATTTCTTAAACAGATATTTTTCTCCTCCCTTTTCAGATTTGTTCAGACAAGAAGGCAGAAATTAAGAAGAACACAGAAATACTCATACCAGGCCAGTAGGGGGCAGCACTGTTGACTTAATGACACCTCAAAACACAAATAAATTACATATTTAAGCAGCAGCTAGTTTTTCATTTTCAGTCGAGCTTTAACGGCGTCAGAGTCGGGACAAATCTTGCTTGTGTTGAAAACGAAACAGTACTACTAATATGGTTTATAGCTCACAACACAAAGTAATACTGGGTATAGGTCTGTCATGATAACTAATTTTGATGGGCGATTATTTTTCTCAGAAATTATTGCGATAAACGATTATTTTGTTTGAAATTTGACAAAAATGAGTAATTATTGTCAAATTTAATAATAAATGTTGGTTAATTTGTTTTGTTGTAGTACCTTTATTGACCACCGGATGGCAGTATAAGACAGTATAAACCGAAGGATGGATAGTGAGGGAGCGAGCAGCGTGTCTTTTTAAGAAAAATGGGAGGGAGGCCCCTTGACATGACATGGGCTGTCTCTCATTCCTTTATTCGTTCTCAAAATGGCAGCTGCTCCGTGCTGTTTGAGCTTTTAGCATAGCATTTTTCACACAAAGCTTTTAATAAAAAATAATCAGTAAACAAGTTCTCAGATTGTTTTTGCAGAGAAAAACAACTATTTACACAACGGCACGGGTTTCAACCGTGAATTTTGGAGCTTCGACAAGACGGAGGTTTTTTCCTCGAGGTTGGCCTGTTAGCTTAGCTTCTTAGCTTAGCTGCTTTTAGCTATGCAAAAACGCAATTTTGGACGACTAAAATGGATTAAAAGAGAAAAGAGAATGGGTCAGTGAAGAGCAAAGGAGTTGAGCCTTTTGTCGTACAGTTCTTCAGTAGAAAGAGAGAGACACGAAGAAACAATAAAGCCGATAAATGAAAATGAGGTCGATAATTTACATTTATCATGCGATTAATCGATTTATTGTTTATCGCGACAGGCCTAACTGCGTATGTGCAAAGTAGGCAGCCACTGTTCCTCAAACTTTTTTTTTTTTGCCAAATAAGTGCAAATACACAAAGAAAAGTTTTAAAGAAACGGTCACGTCCTAAAGAGTTTTTCCAACAGAAGACGCATTAAATGCAGAGAACTAATGCCGTCCTTGTATGGGAACAAACAATCAATGATGACATATAGCACTTAACTTTTTTTTATTTATTTTACATTTTAATTAGTAAGAGATGTGCAAACACAG